TCTCTAAGCACTGTTTTAATGCTTAGATTAATATATCCAGAGAACAATGGGCTTGTTTTGCCCCTCCTGGACACAAGTTTTACATCACTATGACTCCCTGGAGTTATCTGATTGGCACCAGTGTACCCATTATTTATAAATGTATCATGCTTTCTCTTAATATCAGGTAGGAGTGAGTAGAGGCTTTGCCTCTTTTCGGGCATAATTCTGCAGACACTTAACACTGAGCATAGCATTTACAAGGTCAATGGGACTATTCCTTGGAGTTAGCACTACACCCAGTAGTAAGCATTGGCGGGATCAGTCCAAAAATGTGGACTGTTACAGAGGAGTTAGAGCTGTTGTTTGTGCCTTTCTCATACATTAATTCCTTTCAATGATCACTTATTGATATGTAAAAATATATCATTTCAGTTGAAAAATTACAAATTTCCACACCATGGGGTATAACTGGGTGTACAGTGCAATGGAAGTTAAATACTTATTGTAGATTAGCTAGTGACATAGCCTGACAGGAACCCTAATGTCACCAAATGTTAGGTTTATTCCATAAATCAATGAGTAACACCCAGTGAAAAAATGTATGCGGTTGCTCTAACAATCCATTGTATAGATCTGATCCTTCGCCCACTGAAATTAAATGCCAAACTCCCTGTGACATTAAAAAGCTGCAGGATCAGACACTATGTTTACAGTGATGACGACTGCTGTACTATCAGAAAATACCTGGAAGCCATGGATAGAGCTAATCTGCCAGTGGAAAACTAAACATACCTTTCTATCCTGGTCTTGTAAGGTTATAGGTTAAGTAGGTTCACTCTAATCTCAATTTGTGACCCAGCTTCATGCTGATTGGTAGCATGGCTAATCTCTTTTCCACTCACAATGATGCCTGCTGTAAACTGTAATAAGAACTGTGCACACTAGATGTCCTCAGGAGAACATGGATTCATCACTCTAAAACCTTCAGGTGAAGGCTGACAATTATAACAACAAATGAGGGGTGAAGGTGCACAGTGAAACTGAAATGTACTAACCATGGGGAACAGGGACAGTTGGGGAGTGGGAGGTGGTTCGGGGGATTCAGTGTGGGTGTTCTGTATGAGGGATGGGGAGAAACTGGGGCAGAGGGGGGAGGCTGGTGTGTCAGGGTTAGGAAGTGGGTGCTCTCCAGCAGGAGTAGGGGACAATTGGGGGTGTCAGGGATGGTGTGGGGGAGCAGAGTGGGTGCGCTGCATGGGGAGTGAGAGGAGCTACTGAGACTTGGGAGGGAGCAGGTTGGAAGGGTGTGGGGATCTTGGCAGACCCACTTCCTCCACAAGAGTAGTTGCTCTTGGCCTGATCCTGAGTGCCATGGTGGCTGCTTCAGCCCCTGTGGCCCTGCTCTCACCTCCACCCCTACCAGTTAAGAACGTAAGAATGGCCCTACTGGGCCAGACCAAAGGTCTTCCGATGGTGGTCAGTGCCAGGTCCCCAGAGGGAATGAACAGAACAGGTAGTCATCAAAATGACAGAGCCATCCCCTGTCACTCATTCCCATCTTCTGGGAGAGCTAGGGACACCATTCGTGCCCATCCTGGCTAATACCCATTGATAGACCTATCCTCCATGAATTTATCTAGTTCTTTTTTGAACCCTGTTATGGTGTTGGCCTTCACAAAAGGCTCTGGCAAGGAGTTCCACAGGTTGACTGTGCATTGTGTGAAGAAATACTTCCTTTTATTTGTTTTAAACCTGCTGCCTATTAATTTCATTTGGTGACCCCTAGTTCTTGTGTTATGAGTAGTAAAAAAAAAAAACTCCCTTATCTACGTTCTCTACACCGGTCATGATTTTATAGACCTCAATCATATCTCCCCTTAGCTGTCTCTTTTCCAAGCTTAAAAAATGGCCCAGTCTTATTAATTTCTCCTCATACGGAAGCTGTTCCATACCCCTAATAATTTTTGTTGCCCTTTTCTGAACCTTTTCCAATTCCAGTATGTCTTTTTTGATATGGGGCGACCACATCTGCACATAGTATTCAAGATGTGGGCATCCCATGGATTTATATAGTGGCAACATGATATTTTCTGTCCTATTATCTAGCCCTTTCTTAATTATTCCCAGTATTCTGTTCGCTTTTTTGACTGCTGCTGTACATTGAGCGGATGTTTTCAGAAAACTATGCACAATGACTTTAAGGCCTCTTTCCTGAGTGGTAACAGCAAATTTAGTTCCCATCATTTTATACATATAGTTGGGATTATGTTTTCCAGTGTGCACTACTTTGCATTTATCAACATCAAATTTCATCTGCCATTTTGTTACCCAGTCACCCAGTTTTGAGAGATCCTTTTGTAGCTCTTCACAGTCTGCCTGAGTCTTAACTATCTTTAGTAATTTTATATCATCTGCAAATTTGCTACTTCACTGTTTACCCCTTTTTCCAGATCATTTATGAATATGTTGAATAGGACTGGTCCCAGAACAGACCCCCCCTGGGGGACACCACTAGTTATCACTCTCCATTCTGAAAACTGACCAGTTATACCTATCCTTTGTTTCCTATCTTTTAACCAGTTACCAATCCATAAAAGCACCTTCCCTCTTATCCCATGGCAGCTTACTTTCGTAAGACCCTTTGGTGAGGGACCTTGTCAAAGGCTTTCTGAAAATCTAAGTACACTATGTCCACTGGATCCCCTTGGTCAGTGATGAGCTGCCAAAATCTGAACAACGGGTTCCCTCCTCACCCCACGAGGGGGGTCGTTGCCCATCCCTGCCCCCCCGGGACTCCTGCCCCATCCAACCCCTCCACCCCATGTTCCTTGACGCCCCCCCCAGGACACCTGCCCCATCCATCCCCCTCCCTGTCCCCTGACTGCCCCCAGAACTGTAGTGGGTGCCCATCCCTAAGAGCCAGAGGCACCTGCCGGGGGGGGCAAGGTGGGGAGTCCTGGAGGTGCTTACCTGGGGCAGCTCCCAGGAAGCATCTGGCAGGTCCCTCTGGCTCCTAGGGGCGGGGGAGCATAGCTAGGGGGGAGCAGGGGGAGCGGCCACTCCCCCACTGATCACATCAAAAGTGGCGCCTTAGGCGCTGACTCCCTGGGTGCTCTTGGGGCTGGAGCAGCCACGGAAAATTTGGTGGGTGCAGAGCACCCACCAGCAGCTACCCGCCCCGTGCCCGGCCCCAGATCACCTCGCTCCACCTCCTCCACTGAACGCACTGCCCCGCTCTGCTTCGCTGTCCCCTGCCCCCGGCTCTCCACGAATCAGCTGTTTGTGCGGGAAACCTGGGAGGGCTGAGAAGCAGGTGGCGGCTTCCCACTCAGGCTGAGGGTGGTGGAGGTGAGCTGGGGCGGGGAGCGGTCCCCCTGTGCGCCCTCCCCCCTCCGGTTACCTGCTGCGGCGTGGGTGGCCCACCTCGTGCACCCCCCCCAACCCCAGCTCACCTCCGCCTCCCTGGGCCTGAGTGGGAAGCTGCGGCCTGCTTCTCAGCCTGCCCCGGCTTCCCATGCGAACAGCTGATTCATGGGAAGCCTGGGGTGGGGGTGGGGGCGGAGAAGCAGAGCGGGGCGGCGCATTCAGGGGAGGAGTTGGAGGCAGAGCGGAGGTGAGCTGGGGCCGGGGGTAGGGCGGGGAGCTGCTGGTGGGTGCTCTGCACCCACCAAATTTTCCCCTTGGGTGCTCCAGGGCTGGAGCACCCATGGAGTCAGTGCCTAGGGCACCACTTTTGGCCACTTAAATTTAGAAGCCCTTTTAGAACTGGTTGTCCCTTGCAGAACAACCAGTTCTAAAAGGGCTTCTAAATTTAACAACCGGTTCTAGCGAACCGATGCGAACCGGCTCCAGCTCACCACTGCCTTTGGTCCACATGCTTGTTGACCCCCTCAAAGAATTCTAGTCGATTGGTGAGGCATGATTTCCCTTTACTAAAACCATGTTGACTCTTCATCAACAAATTATGTTCATCTATGTGTCTGACAATATTGCTCTTTATTATAGTTTCAACCAGTTTGCCCAGTACTGAAGTCAGGCTTACAGGCCTGTAATTGCTGGGATCACCTCTGGAGCCCTTTTTAAAAATTGGCATCACATTAGCTATCCTCCAGTCATGTGGTACAGAAGCTGATTTAAATGATAGGTTACAGACTACAGTTAGTAGTTCTGCAGTTTCACATTTGAGTTCCTTCAGCACTCTTGGGTGAATACTATCTGGTCCTGGTGACTCATTGCTGTTTAATTTAGCAATTTGTTCCAAAACCTCCTCTAATGATACCGCTATCTGGGACAGTTCCTCAGATCTGTCACCACAGTTGCAGAGCCCTGCCCAGCCTGAGCTTATGAAACAATTCACTTAAGAACAACACGTGGGGTGGGAATATAGATCAACCCCCACAATATTACCATTGTGGAGGCACTAGCCCATACCCCACCCATGGGTCTGCCACCTCTGTCTATAACAGCCCATTACTTTCAGGAAAAAGTAGTGTGATATGCAAGTTTTCATGTAAGAATTGCTACATTTAAGGACAGATTTCTTGCTCGTAAGGTATAGCACTTTGTTCTGCAAATCATCCCATTCATTTAATTGGAACTACTCACTACTAAATCTGAGTAAAGGGGATAAAATCTGGCCTTCAATGTGGAGTTTCTACTCAGATGATCACTGTTATAATTCTAGCAACTAAGAGAGTTTAAAATTAATTAGCTAAACATTTCTGTGTGGAGAGAAACAGACGCTGTTCCATTTTTGGCTACTTTTGAATATTTCAGAGAAAGATGTTTTGTCTAAACATTATCATCCAGTTTAAATAGCACTCACGTCACTATTTCATTGGCCAGTGGAGATACTACCCAGGAGATATTAATATTTTCACTTGGTTCCATGGATGATTTTGGAGATTTGAGGCAGAAAATGTTACATGTATCCCTTGTGGTGTGGTCTCAGGCAGGGCTTACTCCTGCGTCAAGGAAGATTATGGCTAATAGGATTTGGTACTTGGAAGCTGCTGGCATATCTGGTACAGACTCTGTGTTTTCTTAAAGAAGAATATGGACCCCATTTGTTGTGTCATTTTTCTTCTTCTGGCCTTTTACAGGATAAACCCAGCTCTTTCTTATTGTGTTATAGGATGCTCCTGCTCCAGTGATAGCTTTGGAAGGTAAGAAATGTTGGCATCTTATTAATAGTCTTCAGAAGAGTGTTTTGGAAATTCTTGGTATGGCTTGGGCAGTCTTGTGAATACTAGCCAATAATAGATGGATATATTAGGTCCTTAATAATAGATTTATATGTTGTGGATATCACTAATATTGTTTGGGTATTACTAGTTTGGGTAAATAATAAGGTATCTGGGATATGTATTTTAAGATAGTTTTTATTGGGTTAAATGTTTCTTTTGAAGGGAGAGGGAAGTTAACCATATCTAATAATACATTGCTTATGCGGGTATTCTGTTTCCAGTAGCCATTGTACATATTAGGTAGAATAGTTTGTTACCCATGTGCACAGTGTGTTAGCTAAAACTTTACTGATTTCCTCCCTAGGAGTGTGCTGTGCATGTCTACATCCCTGAGAAAGATACCTGGAGACATCCCTCAAGACATCAGAAAAATTAGAATAGAAAACTCTCATCTAACAGAACTGCCTCGTGGGTCATTCTCCAATGCCAGTGCCTTGGAATACCTTTGGCTGAATTTTAATAATATCACAGTTATGCACCTAAAAAGCTTAGAATACCTGAAGGATCTGACAGAGCTGAGATTGCAGGGAAACAAGTTAAGTTCAGTTCCATGGACAACATTTCAAGATACTCCAGCTTTAAAAATATTGGATCTAAAGCACAATAGACTGGATGTTCTTCCAGAGCATGCACTCAGGTATCTGCCCAATCTGACCTACTTAGACTTATCCTCAAATCAGCTTACTGTCATATCCAGGGATGTCTTCTATAATTGGCCTGTGTACCAGAAAACCCAGCAGTCTGAGAGGAAGATGGAAGCTATTTCCAATGCTGTCCTGGCTTTACATGATAACCCATGGATCTGTGACTGTCGCCTTAGGGGATTTGTCCAGTTTATCAAATCAGTTAGCCCACCAGTTATTCTGATGAATTCTTATTTAACTTGTTCAAGCCCTAAATTTAGGGCAGGGAAGTTCTTTCATGAAGTGGAGCTCAACAGTTGCATGAAGCCATTAACGTCATCCGTTGACACCAACCTGACTGTACATGTGGGATCGAATGTTACCATGGCCTGCTTGGTACAGGGCAGCCCCTCCCCAGCAGTCTGGTGGACCTATGGCCTAAAACATTTAAGGGCATTTACTGGTAAGCAGTGGTGTCTATTTTTTTTATTAACGTAAGGAGTGGGAGTCAGTTCCTTGCCTACTAGTTAGTCATTCATAAATCACCTAACCATTAAAATTATTTGAAATAACACAGCAGGCTCTGGTCAGAAATGGCGCAGAGCAGTGATGGAGACTAAGTGCAGCAAAGTTATTTCAAGTAGGATTTTAGAGTCAATTTGGGAAGGGAGAAGCAGAGACATTCACCAACAAGCTTCTCTCTTTTCTGTATGGTGAAAAACAAGAGGCTGTGAAAAAGATACATTATCCAAGGGCAGGTGCCTACTGGCCTTTTCCTGTTCCTAATGTTTCTTATGGCCTTTCACACAGACAATACAGCAGCTCTGTTATCTAACTGCTAATGTAAACCCACACATTTTTCTAAAACCAAAATATATTCTCCTGGTTCTTGCATAAAACAATAGGTCACAGAGTCTGCTTCCTCTATTACCTTCCAGATTTTGTCTCTCTTAATAAGGTCCTCTCTTCTCCAAAGACTACAATCCAAAATTCATTACCATTCCTCTTTCCTCCCACATAGCTTAGATCCTTAAGAAACTCCATCTCATGCTGACTGCCTTCAGTAGTACAATTTATGTGTTTTCATAAGATCATTTTCTATAATGCATCCAATTTTCTACACAGAATTCTGAGTGGCACCACAACTCCTGACACTTAAATGAAATAGTTTTAGTCATGAATCCCAGAATATTATTTGCTTTTATTTTAATGTTTTATCAGCATTTGTCATTTTCCCTTAACAAGCCACATATTACATCAATTCTATATATTCTCTCTTGTCATATATCCATAGCCACTGTAATAAATAGATTAGACAGACTATTTTCAACTAGTAGCAAATGCTATTGTTAAGATTGTTTTTCAGTTTCCATTCCAACCCACCTTATGTTGCTCATAGTGTTCTTCAACAAATTCCTTTGAGGCTGAAATTTGCCTTGTCTGGTATAATGGATGATAGAATTTGGCCCAGAATACATGTCTGTGTCCATTAAAACACTTTCTCTTTGATTTATTATCACTTATGTAAGCTATTTGAACTGCAGAGTATGTAAGAATAAGGAGGCTTTTGCTGGGAGAGAAAAATAGGAGATCTTTGTGCTTTCCCCCCCCCCGATTTTTAAAATGATTTTCACCTGTATTTAGAAAATCCGTATGTGTGTACATCAGCAATCCAGCACATTCATGAACAAATGTACAATAACAACCACAATAACATGTACAATAACAATAACAAGGCAATGGGAGAAATGTGATTAAAATACTGAACACCAGCGCTACCTTCCAAGGAGCTAGGGAAACAGTGATTTCAACCAAGAATCTGAAAATAACGAAAACATATCATGACATTTTCCTCTAATGTTGATCTCAGCTGTGTATATATCTAAGCCTGCACAGTCTAGGTTGCAATACACTATGTCCAGACCTTGGGTCTCATGTAACTTTTTACTGACCTAGGTGTTCATCTGTATTTAATGTAGTCATAACACCTGAGTTCTGCGTTTCTCATGAAGCAGGTGGGTTACCATGTTCCTGACCTATTTCTCCCCTCCTTCCCAAAGCACACATCTGTCATGTGATCTCATGCTGTTCCCATGAGATGGAACATTATTCAGTGAGTTAGGCTGGTTAGAAAATGAAGGGGTAGGGGAAAGAAACATCCACAATATTTTCATGAAATTTTGTGTCTGAGGTTAGTTTTTTGGGGGGATTTTGAGTCATGATTTCCTGACTCCTATCTACCAAGAAGTCCTTATTTCCCTCAGGGTAACTCTCAGTCAAGGGATGAAGTGAATTCCTAGAGTCACTGTGCCTATAACACAGCTGGTGGTGAGTAGTACAACCTGACATGTCTGTTCTTGCTCTCCTTTTCTCCTCAGTGTCCACTACACACATCAATGAAGATACAATGAAATCAGAGCTGGTGATTCCTTCAGCTCACCTTATGGATGAGGGCAATTACACCTGCACGGCTGCCAACTTCATTGGCAACACCTCTACTATAATCTCCCTGAAAATCCAGGCTCCCAGAATGGTAGCTTCTTCCTCGTCTTTCTCTTCCTCTGTCTCAGAAGAGAATGCCTATGTTGATGTGAGGATTGCCAAGCAGACAGTGTATGGGATTACGCTGGAGTGGTATGCAGTGACTGAGAATCCAGGAGAAACTTGGTACACCCTCCACTTTGGGAAGTATGACGACTCCAAGAAGGAGATGATTTACATTGGCCCGGGCACCAATACATATTCAGTCAACGACTTGCTCCCAGCTACCAAGTATGAGGTGTGTGTCACTTTAAGGAACCAGACACCCCGAAAGGGCCAATGCATTGTGTTTGTCACAGGCAGTGACATCAGTGAACTGGAGCAGAGGGAAAAGCTCATCCATATCATCATCATTGTGTGTGCCATGGTGCTGGCAGTCCCCGCTGGGATGTATGCGTGCACTACGGAGACCCGGCTTAACTGCATGGAGAAGTGCGCTGGATTCTGCCACAAGAATCGCAAAGGGCAGAAGAACCTGAGAGCAGGCAACAAAGAAAACACCTTTGACAGCTTGCCAACCGGCAGTGAGGAGGGGCTGTGTTACCGAGACTCCAGTGAAGACAAGAGAAAGCCAAGGTCTCCGGAGGACAAGGAGAAACCCGACAAACACAAATCTAATCACAGAAATAGCGCTGATCTCTATTAGTGGATAAAAATTCAATCCCATATTAGATTAGATCAAGTTAAATATAGAAGGACCAACAAAAATATACGTACACCTAGGTATCTGTGTTACATAAACCCTGGGCATGTGATATGCAGACATACAATCTTGTTTTTCTAAGGGTTTTTAGAAACATTTGAAACTTTAAGGAAAAACGGGGTTATTGGTAAGCAGGAGAGTAATGCATGGCATACACATTGCTGGGAGGGGAGCCAATATACATACTTCCAGCTGCCTGGGAAATTCAATTAAATAGAGGACAGATACATGGCATTGTAATCTTTACAAATTATTCATACATGGACAACCCTTGGGGAAATTACTGAGAGAAATTTATTCTAGTATTTTCATATATATACATATATGAAATATATATATATATTACCATCTGGCAGTGAGGAGTGGGCTGTGTTACCGAGACTCCAGTGAAGACAAGAGAAATATATATATATCCATCCTATTAACTATTTGAGCCAAAAATGGCTCCTTCAGCCCTTACTGCAGCTTAATGCTGATAGAATTTTATTTCCTCATTGGGTACCATTTTGTCTAAGTCAGTCTCTCACTTGCATAGCTTCATTGACCAAGGGGGTTTCAGAAGTGGGAAAGAATTATTTTTAATCTCTCATTGTTAAATACGTGCTTTTATCCTGTGCTCTTTGGAGTATCCATATTGCATCATTTGGGGACAGTGAACACGAGAGCTTTGAAGATGACTTTCCTTACCACCCTGTTTCACTTGCTTATAACTTTTCAGAAATTATTCTTTGGGTTGCAACTTGCCAGGGCTTTGGTCTTAGGGCAAACTGATATGTTTTTGTTATTTTTTGTTGGGGTAAGTTCACAGAAAAAGAAAATGTTAGCAGTTTTTCAGTAATCTCCATGTGAAAATATACACTTTTTTCCCATTTTCAAGGAAATTTAAGAACTATTTTTCACAAAGATGATTGAAAAACAACTGTACTTTGTAATGTTAAACATCACATGGAGCTAGTCCTCAAAGGGGAATAGTCCCTGATTATCTGAAACAAAGTAACACAATAACAGTTGTCTAATGTAGGAATTTTTTTAGGTTTCCTTCCTCTTCCCCCCACCCCTGAAATTTCTTTTTTTTCCCTCGTTTTCCAAAGAAAACTCCAAACCTTAAGTAATCTATATTTTCCACAAACATGTTCATTTATCTCAAAAAGCCATTTTTTTCACTAAAAAACCAGTTTTGATGACAATTTTTTGGCAGCTCTATTAAGGATAAAATTAAATCAAATCCAGCAACATTATTTAGGCAAATAATTGTGTTGTCAGCCATGACAGTTATTCAAAAGTCCAGATTGTTAAAGCTAAGGTTTCTCCCATTTTCCTTTCTTAGTTTTTTCCTTTTGTATGCATATGCGAACCTACATGCATCCACAAAAATTAGATTTGAAACACACAGGGAAATCCTGGCAAAATTCTCATTGACTTCAGTGTGGACCATATTTCAGCTACCGAATCCGTTTCTCATTTATAGTAAGGCCCCTGGGGTACACTAGTCTGGTAGTGTAATCCAGCTCACAACTTTAATTCCGAATGGATAAATAGAAGTCAAACCGTGCAGCTATCTATGGTACTTGTACAGGCAGGGAATTATTAATGACATCACACTCTTTTATTTCACTGTACTTACAGAAAGGGAGTCACACACATCACAGACTGCAGGAGTTTGCTGGATCTTGGCACTTCTAGAAGAACAGTGGCTGATCCTACTGAAGCAGCTCTGTATTCCCAACAGACTCTTTGAAACAAAGTATGTTTTTAAAAGGGAGAATCATTTAACTTATAAATTATGGTTATCCATACAGTGAGGCCCAACTGTCTGATCAGCCTTGCACAGAACATAGGAAGAAAAAAACATCTCCTGTCCCAAGGAAATGCTTCTATTAATTATTAATTTGTATTATATGTATTGTGATAGCAGATGAGATTCCCAGTCATGCACCAGGACCCTCATTGTGCTAGGTTTTGGGTTAAGAGCTGACTCAGCCTCTGAAGCTGTACAGGGTGCGCCCCTGGTGTTTCAGGGCATATACCACATCCATGGCCGTCACTGTCTTCCGCTTGGCCTGCTTGGTGAAGTCACCGTGTTGCGGATCACGTTCTCCAGGAAAACCTTCAGCACCCCGCGAGTCTCTTCATAGATCAGCCCCGAGATGCGCTTCACCCCGCTGCGGCTAGCCAAGCAGAGGATTGCAGGCTTCGTAATGCTCTGGATGTTGTCTCGTAAAACCTTGCGGTGCCTCTTTGCACTGCCTTTTCCCAACCCCTTTCCGCCCTTGCCGTGACCAGACATCCTGCAAACAAGCAGCTAACACCACCACCACCACTGTGTGCTGTGTGAACACAGAACAAAAAGATGTCCCCTGCTCCAAAGAGCTTACAATCCAAGTAATGCATATCCTTAAATTTGAAAATTAAAGTTTTTCCTTCAAACGTAAGGAAAATCAGTGTGAAAAAGCAGTTACACACCTTCTAACAGTGTAGTTACAGTTGTGTTTCTCAGGAGTTGGAAGACACTTGATTTTTGGCCTCCTGCTTTAAAAGATAGCCAAGGCATGTTGCTATCTGGTATACATGCAAATGGATTGCTGCAGAAGTCATCAGAAAACAAAGTAGAGCTGAAAACAGTGCTTTAGATGGATCTTAATAAGCTTGGCTGAGATTCACTCTGTCGTCTCCTAGGTTTTATGGTAATACTTCAGTAACAAGAAGTAAACAATGCTTTCCAAAGTTTTTTTATATGGGGTTACATTTTCTTCTCCAGTGCTTATTAATTCCACAGTTTATTGTACAAATATTTAATTATAACTGTTTAGTTCATCTTCTCTTACTTTCCAGTTTGTTTTATGTCATTTTGTAGGCTTGACTAATAATTCTTAGTTGTAAAATATGGTTTTAAAATAAAATAATTGATTTTCAGAATACCCAGAGTTTTACCCATTAGTGAATTTTACTTCCCTGTGCACGTTTGGTCTTTTTACTATACTTGCCATATTTGAAAAGAAACCTGTATGACCAGTGATTAAATAAAGTCATATTACATGATCTCACCAAAAGATCCTATTTGTCAACTTTCAGAGTAGTAGCCGTGTTAGTCTGTATCTGCAAAAAGAACAGGAGTACTTGTGGCACCTTAGAGACTAACCAATTTATTTGAGCATAAGCTTTCGTGAACTACAGCTCACTTCATCGGACGCATTCAGTGCATTCATTTGTCAACTATAACATCTATACTGCACAGATGATGAGTGAAGGAGTGTCATAGGGTGGGCTGGCCATTTAAAGCTGGATTGTCTGGGGCTCATTACACAGGTTTTTATTATGCTCTCTTCAGGTGGTGAATGTTGAGGTTTCCTTTAAGAGCGAGCCTGCTTAGCTTGGGAGAAGGGATTTGCAGGGAGGAAGGCTCCTATAGGAGATTCACAGTAACAGGGAGACCTATAGGAAGGATCTCCTGTAGTAGAGACAGATGGGTTGCAGAAAGAGCTAGTAGGCTCTTTTCAGTGGGCCCAGGGAAGAGGTAGCGAGCCATGGAAGAGGCTGTGGGAAAGGCCCAAAGACAGGTTGATATAGGAAGTGTTCCAGGTAAGTAAACAAAGGGAACTGAGCAGGTGGCTTGCTGCTTGTAATGGGGTCCTTGGAGTGGAGCCTAGAGTAGGGAGGCCTGGGTTTCATTAGAGGAGGTGTGAACACATGAGGAATGAAGGCCAATGAGTCTGGCATTCGAACTGAAGACTCAATCTGAGGTGGCTGAATGATTGTTGTGTTGGATTTTTCATTTACCCCCTGGAGTGGACTTCATTATTTGGCTGGAGGGCGAAATCATTAAACAGCACTGGACTCTGCCTATCTAAGAGTGGGCCACTGAAGTGCCTGGAGACGGAGCAGGGAAACTGAGGCACAGAGCACTGACCAAACTGATCTTGTCACATGGAGTTCTTTTCAAAAATGATTGGGACTGTAAATGTCCCTTATTGACACATGCAACAAAATACATCTTGAATAGGGGATTTACTTAAAATTAATGCAAAATGAGTGATCCTCCCTCCAGAGACCAGCTAACCTCTTACAAAAGAAACATTGGCCAATACATTGGACCTATGCTCATGACCGAATCTCTTCTGCTTGATGCTACAATCCCACACGAGCTAATGCTGAGCTGTTCCATAAGGGTTAGCTTGTGACTTGACCTACACTGCTATGCAGAAGAATAAGAACCCCCCTTATGCTCCTGCATAGGCTACTTGTACATTGTGCCTTGGCTCTGCCCACAGTGTGCCAGCTGCTGTAATTTCTGCTAGTATATACTCTAGTAGACCACTACCTCCCAGCAGGAAGGGAATTGTGCCTCACAAAGGTGCCTCTTGGGGTTGGGCCAAAAGGTACAATCTAGCTCTTATGTCTTGAAATTAAACCGTGGGTCTAACTTTCACACTTGGAGGCCTAGCTGAGGGTATCCAATTCTAATTTAAGGTACTCAACTCACTCGCAGGTGCTTAAATTCAAATCCTGCAGACCTAAGTCAGACACAAAGGCCTGATCCACCTCCCATTGAAGTCAGTGGAAAGGCTCCCATGGACATCTGTGGCTATTGGTTCTAACCAAAATGTTCACCTCCCTTTCTGTGTAGGGGAGCATGGTCCTTATTCAGACAACATTCCCAAGTCCCCATGTGCTGGTTTTAGCACTCAGGGTAAACATTGTAAAAGGGAATTTTTCACTTTAAAAGCAGTCTGTGACACTTTCTCAGGGTATCCAGGAATGTGAGTCACCATGTTACCCCCTCTCCCTGCCTCCAGGGAAAGAGCCCTTTCTTGTAATAACTGGCTGTCAGCTCCCTGACACTGCCAGCCCTTTGGAAACTCAGGTGCTCTCATCGGGGCTCTGCTCTGCCCCTACTTTGCCTTGTTGGTTAACACTTGGCATACCCCACTTCCTGAACGCCTCAGAAACATCCCTCTGTAGTACCCAGACTCCAGCGAGAAACTGCTGAATTGGAATTCATTTGCAAATTGGATACTATTAATTTAGGCTTAAATAGAGACTGGGAGTGGCTAAGTCATTATGCAAGGTAGCCTATTTCCCCTTGTTTTTTCCTAACCCCACCCCCCCCCCCCTCGACGTTCTGGTTAAACTTGGATTTATGCTGGAAATGGCCCACCTTGATTATCATACACATTGTAAGGAGAGTGGTCAGTTTGGATGAGCTATTACCAGCAGGAGAGTGAGTTTGTGTGTGTGGTTTTTTGGGGAAAAAAAAAGGGGGGGGGAGGGGGGGGAGAAAACCTGGATTTGTGCTGGAAATGGCCCAACTTGATTATCATACACATTGTAAGGAGAGTGATCACTTTAGATAAGCTATTACCAGCAGGAGAGTGGGGTGGGAGGAGGTATTGTTTCATGGTCTCTGTGCATATAATGTCTTCTGCAGTTTCCACAGTATGCATCCGATGAAGTGAGCTGTAGCTCACGAAAGCTTATGCTCAAATAAATTGGTTAGTCTCTAAGATGCCACAAGTACTCCTTTTCTTTTTGCGAATACAGACTAACACGGCTGTTACTCTGAAACCAGACACTTAGTGTAATTACCATGAAAGGGGTCCTCCAAGAAATAGTGTACACACAGTTTGACTGGTACAACTCTCGATCAGGTACTTTATGGCAACACAGCATTGTAATCTACTTAAGGTAAAAACAAATCTAAGCGTATTCAAAAAGCTTAAGAGATGCTGTGAAAGAATAATGAGTGGAAACACAACTGGTTACATGTAGAAAATAAAACATAAAATGCACTCCTATGGCTACTCTTATTAAAGATTACCTCTTCTATTTTATAAAGTAGGATTCAATCTGTGAGGGAGTTTTCAGTCAAAACCAGGATCCAAGTTTTCATGAATATTTTCCCGCCCTACAAGGGGTTTCCTCAGCAAATAGGTAACAAAATGGCTTTATGCTTCTCCTTATGTTGCCCAAACTCATTGTTTTTACCCTAGAGTCAGGATGGCACCCCACGGTTTGTTCTTGTCAAGGTTCCTCCCCCACTCTGAACTCTAGGGTACAGATGTGGGGACCTGCATGAAAAACCTCCTAAGCTTATCTTTACCAGCTTAGGTCAAAACTTCCCCAAGGTACAAAATATTACACCCGTTATCCTTGGAATGGCCGCTACCACCACCAAACTAATACTGGTTACTGGGGAAGAGCTGTTTGGATGCGTCTTTCCCCCCAAAATACTTCCCAAAACCTTGCACCCCACTTCCTGGACAAGGTTTGGTAAAAAAGCCTCACCAATTTGCCTAGGTGACTACAGACCCAGACCCTTGGATCTTAAGAACAATGAACAATCCTCCCAACACTTGCACCCCCCCTCTCCTGGGAAATGTTGGATAAAAAGCCTCACCAATTTGCATAGGTGACCACAGACCCAAACCCTTGGATCTGAGAACAATGAAAAAGCATTCAGTTTTTACAAGAAGACTTTTAATAAAAAATAGAAGTAAATAGAAATAAAGAAATCCCCCCTGTAAAATCAGGATGGTAGATATCTTACAGGGTAATTAGATTCAAAAACATAGAGAACCCCTCTAGGCAAAACCTTAAGTTACAAAAAAGATACACAGACAGAAATAGTTATTCTATTCAGCACAATTCTTTTCTCAGCCATTTAAAGAAATCATAATCTAACACATACCTAGCTAGATTACTTACTAAAAGTTCTAAGACTCCATTCCTGTTCTGTCTCTGGCAAGAGCAGCACACAGACAGACCCAAACCCTTTGTTTGTCTCCCTCCTCCCAGCTTTTGAAAGTATCTTGTCTCCTCATTGGTCATTTTGGTCAGGTGCCAGCGAGGTTACCTTTAGCTTCTTAACCCTTTACAGGTGAGAGGAGCTTTCCCCTGGCCAGGAGGGATTTCAAAGGGGTTTACCCTTCCCTTTATATTTATGACACGCCCCCCAAATCTCAGCTAGGGTGAAACACTGGCTGGGATTTCTTCCTGGAGCTCTAGGAAAAACAGAGTTAATAAGACACATGCATCTCTAAATATACTACCAAGTACATAAAGACTAACAATATTTTCCACATCTCAAGGACGATTTTAACCAGTTGACTCTGGGAAACTTTCACGGGAGAGTGCATCAGCCACTTTGTTAGAAGCTCCTGAGATGTGTTGGATGTCGAAATCAAAATCTTGGAGAGCTAAACTCCACCGAAGAAGTTTTTTGTTAGTTTCTTTGACGGTGTGAAGCCACTTCAGTGCAACATGGTCGGTTTGCAGGTGGAAACGCCGTCCCCAAACATATGGGCGTAGCTTTTCCAGAGCGTAGACAATGGCGTAACATTCTTTTTCAGTGACTGACCAGTTGCTTTCCCTCTCAGACAGTTTTTTGCTGAGAAACACTACAGGGTGGAATTCTTGATCAGGTCCTTTCTGCATTAAAACTGCTCCCACACCACGCTCGGACGCATCTGTGGTTACTAGGAACGGTTTGTCAAAGTCTGGGGCCCTTAGTACAGGGTCAGACATGAGTGTCGCTTTAAGCTTGTTAAAGGCCTTCTGACACTTTCCGGTCCACTGAACAGCATTTGGCTGTTTCTTTTTGGTTAGGTCTGTCAGTGGGGCAGCGATTTGGCTGTAGTGCGGTACAAATCGTCTGTAATAACCAGCCAAGCCTAAGAAGGATTGAACCTGTTTCTTTGACTTTGGGACAGGCCACTTTTGGATAGCATCCACTTTGGCCTGTAGGGGGCTGATAGTTCCTTGACCCACCTGGTGTCCAAGGTAAGTCACTCTGTTTAGGCCTATTTGACACTTCTTAGCCTTAACAGTTAGTCCTGCCTCCCTTATGCGCTCAAGGACTTTTTGTAGATGTTCCAGGTGGTCTGCCCAGGAATCCGAAAATATGGCCACATCGTCAAGGTAGGCAACTGCATATTCTCCTAATCCCGCTAGGAGACCATCTACAAGTCTTTGGAAAGTGGCGGGTGCATT